GAACAAACGCTGCGTTCCCGCTGAGGCCGATCGCTCGCCCTCACGCTAACTCTGCTAACGCTCCACCGCACCGCCATGAGAATAGAGCCTATATTTACCATTAGCGCACACATCCAAACACACGCTATAATTAAACACATGAAAAGGACGATGTGTTGCAGCGTTGCTAATCTTGGTGGTTTTATTTATTTGGTTTAAAAAAAAAGAGGCCTGGACACACAATCGGCACCCGGCCCCGTGCCAGGATGAGCAAACAGATTTAGAATCAAAGCAGAAACACTGCACAGGAAATGATTCTGTACACTTAAAATAACTTCATTCAATGTTGCTGTTGAATTAACGACACCAGAGTCTTTCCTATTGATGCACAATGGTCACTTCTGGATTTAAAGTACACATGAAATCAAAACTAGCCATGACTTTGTTAGCTCACATCGCTAGTTTTGTGGTGAATGATTCATCTGTGCATGTCATTAAGTAAAAAATAAACTGCGCTTGTAATCTAAAATTAAAACCTAGAAATGCACTTCCAGTTTGTTTACAGTTAAATTCTCAGATTACATCTGTCTGAGGCATTGGGCGTGGCTAACATACCTAACCACGCCCCTCCAACTGTCAGTTTTGACAACAAACAGAAATGTTGAGAAAGGTGTCAGTTAGGTTGTAGGAACTCTACAAAACCCATTTCCCAACCTTTCTGAATAAAATGCCTACCTTACTGCTAATCTGGGGTGCATTTCCGAAAACCATCAAATGAGAATGAGAGATTCACTGAAATATCACGGTAACAGAGTTTTCCACCATTTTGTGCTTTACAGACATCCCAAGTTGGGCGCGCGACGTACCTGAAGAGCTGTGTACGGTGGAGAGAGGTACGTGATGTATTTCAGGACCGGGCAGGAGACATGCGATTTCCGGGAGATTATCATTCATTTGCGGGCATTCGGGAGTCTCTATGCATTTGCAGGATCCCAGACCTGAATCCAATTGAATCCATTTTCCACGTCTAAAACAGAATTGTATGTAATTTCATCATATTATAGTTAAAAAAATAAATGAGAGATTCACTGAAATATCACAGTAACAGAGCTGACATTTTCCGCCATATTGTGCATTAGCTCAAGATGCTAACCTGAAACCAGACATTTAATGCCAAATACACAATTCCATAAATATTCAATATATTATAGTTAAAAGTGAATGAGAAATTCTCTAAATATTACAGTAAGTTGACAATAACACAGCAGACATTTTCCACCATTTTGTGCTTTAGCTTGTGATGCTAACCTCAAACCAGACCCCACATGACATGAATAAATCTGAATTTTATGCTTTTTTTATCATACACTACTCAAAACAATATAAGGAACACTAAAATAACACATCCTAGATCTAAATGAATGAAATATTCTTATTAAATACTTTGCTCTTTACATAGTTGAATGTGCTGACAACAAAACCACACAAGGATGATCAATGAAAATCAAATTTATTAACCCATGGAGGTCTGGATTTGGAGTCACGCTCAAAATTGAAGTGAAAAAAACACACTACAGGCTGATCCAACTTTGATGTAATATCCTAAAAACAAGTCAAAATGAGGCTCAGTAGTACCTCCACGTACCTGAGCATGTTCCTGATGAGGTGACGGATGGTCTTCTGAGGGATCTCCGCCCAGACTTGGACTAAAGCATCCGCCAACTCCTGGACAGTGTGGTGCAACGTATCATTGGTGGATGAAGCAATACATGATGTCCCAGATGTGCTCAATTGGATTCAGCTCTGGGAAACTGGCGGGCCAGTGCATAGCATGAGTGGTTTCGTCTTACAGGAACTGCTGACACTTTCCAGCCACATGAGGTCTACCATTGTCTTGCAATAGGAGAAACCTAGGGCCAACTGCACCAGCATATGGTCTCACATGGATCTTATCTCGATACCTATTGGCAGTCAGGCTACCTCTGGCTGGCTCATGAAGGGCTTTGACGCCCGATTTGATGATCAGCGAGGGCCATGTTTTCAGCTACAAATCATTATTTAATGTTCTAGTCAAGAGATCTACATCTTATATTACCCGAGGTGAGTGAATAAAATTGTGATTTTAAGGTGAACTACATCTTTATGCATTCATAATACAGTCTGTGTCAATATAGTTTGACTTGACTGCCAATTAATACAATAATGTCACACTTTACCTGAAAAATTAAAGCTCATATTTCATCCTTCCCAAAGCACTATTTAAATTCCCTTTACCCCTTATTTCTAACCGATATGTGATTTACTATTGGATGTCAACGGTGGTTTAACGGTTTTCAGTTTGTTGGTGATCCCTTACTGTTTATTCAAAACACTTTTCAATTGCCAAAGCTTTGTCAATCTGCTCCATTTTTTGCATGAATAAATCAGTCGCCTCACTTTCCTGCTGTGCCTATATGACTATATCTGATGTTTGGCCAAGTCACGTGTTTGTCTAGCACTGTGTTTCATTACCACGGCTCATCTCTATAGATAGGAGGAAGAGCTGTGCGATGACCACTATGGCTGTGGAACGTTCTCCATATCCTATTTCCGCTGGTGTTTGATGATAGCTGAGGTTTCACAGCCTTATGGGCAAACAGAGAAACGGACCAAAAGAGTAATACATTTATTAGTCATTAATTTTAGTTTCAGATCAGCACTTTGCAAACATTATACGATCAGTCAAAGTTTAAGATAATGAAAAACATTAAAATATTCTAAAATAATTTAGACAAATCATTGCATAATGATGGTGTGCTCTTTATCTAAAATAAAACGCATGAAGGGGCTAATAATATTGACCTTAAAATGGTTTTTAAAAATTAAAAACTGCTATTATTTTAGTCGAAATAAAACAAATAAGACTTTCTCCAGAAGAAAAAATATTTTAGGAAATACTGTGAAAAATTCCTTGCTCAGTTAAACATCATTTGGGAAATATTAAAAAATAAATAAATAAAAACACAGGAGGGCTAGTAATTGTGACTTCAATTGTGTGAACACAAACTTCTAATAAGCCAATCACATGGCAGCAACTCAATGCATTTAGGCATGACATGGTCAAGATGGTCTGCTGCAGTTCAAACCAAGCATCAGAATGAGGAAGAAAGGGGATTTAAATGACTTTGAACATGGCATGGCTGTTGATGCCAGATGGGCTGGTCTGAGTATTTCAGAAACTGCTGATCAAATGCGATTCTCACACACAACCATCTCTAGGGTTTACAAAGAATGGTCTGAAAAAGAGAAAATAACCAGTGAGCGGCAGTTCTGTGAGTGCAAACGCCTTGTTGATGTTGGAGGAGAATGGCCAGACTGGTTTGAGCAGATAGAAAGTCAACAGTAACTCAAATAAGCACTCTTTACAGCTGAGGTCTGCAGAAGAGCAGCCCTGAACGCACAACACGTCCAGCCTTGAGGCGGATGGGCTACAGCAGCAGAAGCCCACACCGGGTGACACTCCTGTCAGCTAAGAACAGGAAACTGAGGCTAAAATTCACACAGGCTCACCAAAATTGGATAATAGAAGATTGGAAAAACGTAGCCTGGTCTGACGAGTCTCGATTTCTGCTGCGACATTCGGATGATAGAGTCAGAATTTGCCATCAACAACATGAAAGCATGGATCCATCCGGCCTTGTATCAACAGTTGGTGGTGGTGTAATGGTGTGGGGGATATTTTCTTGGCACACTTTTATTGTAGTTTAATATTAATATTAATCCAGCTGTAAATAGTGCTAACTGCTAACTAAACTTACATTAACAATGTCTTAATTGTCATTTTTAGACCATTTAAAGATGCTCAGTGGATAACCTCAAACCGAACTTAACACTGTTTACAAGTATGGAAAATTACACAGTATTTAACTGTTGTGTCACTGTATTTTAAAGTTGCATTGTAAAAATTACTATGTATTTTGCAGTTAAGATATAAAATACTTTAAGGGTGCTTTCAGCGGATCGATTGTAGTGAGAAAGCAAAACAATCCGAGCCCGGCTATATTACATTGTATTATGGATTTGTAACATATATACGGCTATATAAAGAGAGAATTATGAATGAGGCAGGATGTCATTCCAACCCATAAATGTGCGTTTCATGTAAAAATCAAAAGTGAAAGCATGTTAACTACTAACGAGAGCTGTTTCTCCGATAGAAAAATTGACCGAACTGCATTCTTGGTTTATCTTTTACTTCTCTCTATAATGTAAAGCCTATAATGTATAAGCCAACTGCTATGTATGAGAGAGTCTTACCTCTGATTTATAATTGGCGGTGATGTCTGTGGGCGTCACCATTCAAAATGAAAGTGCAGCTTTTCGCTTATAATGTCTTGATGCTCATCATCATAAATTAAAATAAGGACTCATGACAGCTGAGCAGGACTCTGCAAAATAAACCGTGAAACTCTGACCAATGTAAGGAGAGTTTACTCGCACGTGACTTGTTTTAGCTCTTTTGGTCCATTTAGCAACTTTGCAGAGAAAAAGTGAACCGCACCAAGAACAAAAAGCAACATTGTAACAATTTTAATCTCAAGAGAATCGATCCACAGGCTAGAAAGCACCCTAAGTCTATATATATATATATATATATATATATATGCTTTAATGTGTGTGTGTGTGTATATATATATATATATATATATATATATATATATATGCTTTAATGTATATATATATTGTAATTGTATATTGTAATATATGTATTGTAATTGATTAACAATAAGTTACAGGCGAACTCCTGCCGTTAAGTTATTTTAGATTTTACAGGAAATTGTTAACAGTGAAGTGTATCAGGGTTTCTTCAAAAGTATTAAGAAGCAAAATCCGTTTCAATATTATTATTATATATAATGATAATAAGTGTTTCTGCGTGACTGACATTAAACACGGCATGAGTAAACGTAAAGAGTTTAAGTAATACTAGCACTTTCAGACAGGACAGACATGAAACAGAAGAGTATCAACACAATGTGAGGTTAAACTGGGAGCATTTGGGTCGTGATGTGCCAGAACCACAATTTATTCCAATCATCTCGTCATCCGGCTGCTTTGGATCACATTGACCACCGTTTTTTCGATGCTGTGACACACATTATCAACAATTTCCTTTTAAAAGAATGGCTGCTTGAAAATCTAGATTCTGAACGTGTTGAGGGAGTCAAATAATGGTTGTAATTGCGAACGAATGGAGTCGATGCCAAACCAGCAGTTGAAAGGTAAGAGATCATCTGAGACTAATTAGTGTCTGTGCTGAATGAATGGGTTTGGCACACGGTTTAGGAAGCTTCCATTTTGGTCACTGATTCATATCCACATGGAAGAAGAAGAAGAAGAAGAAAAAGAAGAAAATAGGCTGTAATCTCACTATAGGATATAATTCTGAGGGCTTTTCAGGATATCACTGAACACAGAATGGGAGGGTTATCTCTGTCTGTGTATGAAAACTGCACATTCATGCAGACGTCCATGAGCTTTGGCGTCTGTCAATAATTATCTGCAGTCAAAACAAAAGGGTGGGAACTGAATTAGGCCAAGCGAGAACATGAACATTCCCATCTGAATGCAGTTCATCGCTGCTTAATTCTGTAGAGGGCAACAGTTTCCACCAGAGGCTATTCACTCATTTTATCATCCGTCAGTCTGGTTTAGTTCTGAGAATAGGTCCATCTGCAGCAAAATATAGAAGAAAAGATGGTCGTAAACATTCTGCTAGACAGCCGGACAATGATACAGACAGACAGAAGACAGACAGACAGACAGACAGACAGACAGACAGATAGATAGATAGATAGATAGATAGATAGATAGACAGATAGGCAGGCAGACAGACAGACAGACAGACAGACAGACAAACAGCCAGACAGACAGACAGACAGACAGACAGACAGACAGACAGACAGACAGACAGACAGACAGACAGGCAGGCAGGCAGGCAGGCAGGCAGGCAGGCAGGCAGGCAGGCAGGCAGGCAGGCAGACAGACAGACAGACAGACAGACAGACAGACAGACAGACAGACAGACAGACAGATAGATAGATAGATAGATAGATAGATAGATAGATAGATAGATAGATAGATAGATAGATAGATAGATCTCTCACTCACCTGGGTGCGAGGTGATACCTTCCTCTCTTTGGATGTCTTGCTCTTGGCCTATAATCTATAGAGGAAATTACACTTGTATCATATTTATATATTAAATAACACATTGACCTCTTAATTATAAAAACAAAGACAAACCAAATGAATATATGCTTTCATACAAGCCTTAAAGGGACAGCTCACCCACAACTGAAAATTCTGTCATCACTTACTCACCCTCAGGTTGTTCCAAACCCATGTTAATTTCTTTGTTTTGCTGAACACAAAGGAAGATATGTGGAAGAATGTAAGCGACCATTCTTTTTTTTTTTTTAAACAAGGGAGGTAAATTGGTGGCGGGATCTGTTTGGTTACAGACGTTCTTCCAAATATCTTCTTTTGTGTTCAGCAGAACAATGAAATGAATGAGTTTGGAACAACCTGAGGGAGTGTAAGTGATGACAGAATTGCCTTTTTTGACGTGAAGTACCCCTTTAAGCCTTTTTATGGCCAAGTCTTCTGTGTGGTACCTTGCTGGTGGTGTGCTGGAGCTCTGAAGTCCTGGCGTGTGGGATGATGGATCTGGGGTCGTCTTTCTCCAGGCTCATCATCAACCTCCACAGGCCGCACTGAGGCAATAAAAGAAGCATTTAACTGCTGTTTTAATTGGAGGTTTGACTCTCTGACAATTAGTATTTGCAGCGGAGCATCACTGGAAATTTAAAACGTACAATTCCGTAGTCTGAACTTCACCACCACGTCCCCAGAAGACGGAGGCCGTGATTACTGCCTCGAACGCACATAAATTAAAACCAGACTTTTTATATTCGACTAGCCTGACAAAATTTCTGCAATCGACACTTTAGAGGATCTGAGATTCAAAACAATCTTCTCAGTTACAGAAAAATAATGGGGTGAATTAAGTTCAGGGAAAAGAAGCGCAGTTTATGTAGCAGAAAAGAAATGAGAGAATCACCACATTGACATTTAAACTAGTTTCGACTTTTTCAGGAAAGAGTAGGATTTGTTTTTCTGTTTTGGAACTTGACTGAACTGTAGGTAACACTTTATTTTGATAGTCCATGTATTAGTATTAGTAGACTGTCTACTTAATATCTGTTGATATGCTCCTTCAACAGACATTTAACTGACTATAAGAAACTTTGCAAGTACATGTCAACTTACCCTAACCCCAACCCTAACCCTAACCTAACAGTCTACTTAAAATCTAATGAGAATTAGTTTGCAGGTAGATGCAGTGAACTTCAATTCAACAAATGGACCATCAAAATAAAGTGTGACCAAACTGTTAGACTTTTATGAAATTAATAAATTTTATTAAATGTAATGACCTTAAATATGAATAAAATAATATGAATAATTACCTAAAATAATAAATTTATTTATTAAATATCTAAATATCAATATTTAATTTTATATCATTAATTAAATAATCATTTTTATATTATATTTAAATATCTATTGATTTTAAAGTTTATTTACAAAAACAAAAACTGTGCTAGGCAATTAAGACTAATCGTGATTAATCCAAATAATATTTTAAATAATTTACCCATATATTATTATATTAAATAATATCCAAAATAAAAGTTTGTTTTGACATAATATACAGTTGAAGTCAGAATTGTTAGCCCCCTTTGATTTTTTTTTATTTAATTAATTAATTAATTAAATTATTTATTTATTTATTTTGTTCCCTAATTTCTGTTTAAAGGAGAGAAGATTTTTTCAACAAATTTCTAAAAATAATAAAATCTAAAAATAACTCATTTCTAATATTTGATTTATTTTATCTTTGCCATGATGACAGTAAATAATATTTCACTAGATATTTTTATTATAGTAACACTATAGTAAGATTATAGAAAGACACTTATATACAGCTTAAAATGACATTTAAAGGCTTAACTAGGTTAATTAGGTAACTAGGCAGGTTAGGGTAATTAGGCAAGTTATTGTATAACAGTGGTTTGTTCTGTAGACAATTGAAAACCAAAATAAAATGTTTTTAAAAAATTAAAAACTGCTTTAATTCTAGCCGAAATAAAACAAATAAGACTTTCTCCAGAAGAAAAAATATTATCTCAGACATACTGTGAAAATTTCCTGGCTCTGTTAAACATCATTTGGGAAATATTAAATAAAGAAAAAAATTCAAAGGGAGGCTAATAATTCTGACTTCAACTGTGTGCGTGTGTGTGTGTGTGTGTGTATATATATATATATATATATATATATATATATATATATATATATATATATATATATATATATATATATATATATATATATATATATATATATATATATGATCATGTTTAGTATCTTTTAAAAAACATTTCCTAACAAAATCCTACATTCAATTCTTTAGATTGTTATGATTCTACAAAACATGTTTTGCTCTGTTTTGCGGCGTATGACAAAATAAAGTGATCTGTAAATTCCAGACTGGTGAAAACAAGCATAAACAAACGAACATCAATCTAACAAGACAAATCTTGAGATTCAAAACATGGCCATAATCCGACTAAAATATCTGATGGCAAAAAACAGCCCTTCTTTTTTGCCTCCAAAACACAACACCAGCAGTTCATGAGCTGGTCGACATCAAGAAGGAAACCAGATGGAGACAATTTCACCATAAGGTCTCTTTTAATCTTAGGACAGAACCACAAAACTCTGGATGGTGGTAAAAAGCAAAAGGGGCTCAAGGAGTTTGTAACAGTCACCACGTTGTAATTTCGTTGTCTTGTTATGTTACTTAATATAGATTGCTACCTATAAAAAGTAACCCAGAATTATTCTTGTTATGACAAAGCATCCTTTCCATCTGAGGTAGTGTGCCAAACCGATTGTTTCCACTGTCGCAGACCAGATGGAGGGTGTTATGAAGACCGCTGGGTATTGTTTACGTGCACAAAACCTGGACATCTCAGCGTGTATTTGTATTCCATTTGTTTGAGTCACAACCAGGTCCACAAAAATCCAAATCTGCAGAAATCTCCTTAGATATCCACAGAATACAAAAATAATAATAATAATAATAATAAAAAATACACTCTACTTGAAGGAGGTGTTTATAAGACAAATATGACTTGACAGATCATGAATATGAAGGAGATTTCATGCCTGACAATCGAGGTTATAATAGTTTTGGATTTTTCATTAGTTTTAGTTTCTATTTTGTTTTGATTTTTTGTTTTCAAATTCAGTTAGTTTTATTTAGTTTTAGAGGCAGATTTCCTAGTTTTTATTAGTTTCTATATCTTAAAATGTTTTAGTTTTGGTTTAGTTTTTATTAGTTTCAGTATTAGTTTGTTTGTTTTTTTTTCTAAATGAGGATATTTGTTTGGATAACAGGATAAATATTGTATAATAAAAACGCAGTCATACATTTTTTGAAACATGTATTCAGAAAACACATGAACACTATCATCTACCACAACCATCAACCCATCCTCAAATTCAAATACAGCCTCCCACAAGATAGCAGCCCTATGTACAATATGTGAGCAAGGCTGCTTGCGAGGTTAGACACACAGTAGTATTGGGCAGGGCCGGATTAACCAATGGGCATTATGGGCACAATCCCAGGGGCCAGTCTGCGCTTAGGTTTTGCCTACTCTTCATCACGAGGAAGACAAGTAGGAATCATTAATAACTGTGTGTATTATGGAGGACTCAAAATTCCTAGAACTGGATTGGAGAGGTGTTATATCCGAATCATGTGCATTATAAGTTTGTAGAAGTTATACATTAAAAACACCCTTAAATATAAATTTTAGTACTGCTTCAGTGAACTTGAACAAGTATATTAAAATCCATTAACTTCCCCTAGTTGTATTAGCAATTTGTTTTTTCAAAGTTTGCTTTAAATGCTTTAAAAATAAGTTAAATCTGTGTAAACTAGAAATATATGTACTGTATATCATTTATTTTAAAATGTGGTCAATACATTATAGATTAATTTTATTTAACAAATATATTAATCTTATTTTTCAATTCAACTATCGGGTGCAGCAATAGGGGGCCTACAAGACATTGTGCCCAGTGGCATCTGAATTATTAATCCGGCCCTGGAGATGGGAAATTCAGATTTCTAACATGGATGTTAGGACTCAACATCATGTAGCCAGCAATAGTAATTTCAGTCAGTTAAAACATCACCAAGATCTGAAAAAAGTCTTACGGTAAAGTTTTACTAAGTGTAAACCCAACTGAATCATGCTTCACTTATTTAAATTCCATTACGGTTGTCTGTTATGAAATAAACTGACGTTTTTCACCAGATCCTCTCATTTAAGCCCTCGGTTTACCCGCGCTGCAGTTGTTCCAAGTTCTGTTCAGTCACACAGCAGGCTGTACTGTGTTTGGTTCACGCATGAACTGTTAGACGCATGCACAGTATTATCGGTTCACCGCTTCTCGATGTAACGTTACTGTTCTAATAATGTATATATTTAAAAATATAATTCTATAATAATGTATACATTTAAGGTCATGGTCAGTTTTATTAACACGCCCTTCAAGTAAAGTGTTACAAATATATCGTTCTCTGAAATAATTCTGACCACAATGAATGTTTTCAGCTACATTACATGATGTAGAAAATGTAAAAGATTGCTTCTATTAAGTAAAAGAAATTAACTGGGGAATTGAGAGTGATGCGCACCGTCTCTGTATTGTCGTCTGCGCGGTCGGCTGTGGACGGGACTGTTGTGCTTTCTGCAGACTTCCAGCACCAGCTCTTTGACAGACTGGAACAAAGACGTCCAGGAGGACTAAAACACAACACATAAAAGTCATATTTAAAGAATAATAATAAATATACGATGCAGAATTCCAAATCTCCCTCCAATACATTTATTTATAATTGATGAAACTCACACAATAGTCACAAAAAGAATGTATACACGGTTACAGAATATAAAGTCATGAGGGTGCACTTGAAAAAGATTGTGTTTGACTCCCATGAGCTTGGAGGATCAATAAATCTCTGCAATGACTCAAATCACTTATTAATAAAGTCATCTGGAATGGCAAAGAAAGATTTCTTGCAGGACTCCCAGAGTTTGTCAAGATTTTTAGGATTCAACTTCAATGCCTCCTTCTCCATCTTACCTCAGACATGCTCAATAATGTTCATGTCTGGTGACTGGGCTGGCCAATCCTGGAGCACCTTTGATGACCTTTGCTTTCAGGAGCTTTGATGTGGAGGCTAAAGTATGAGAAGGAGCGCTATCCTGCTGGAGAATTTGCCCTCTCCTGTGGTTTGTAATGTAATGGGCAGCACAAATATTTTGACACTTCAGGCTGTTGACGTTGCCATCCACTCTGCAGATCGCCAAAAATCATATCTCTGTATTTTAAGGAGGAATGATGGTATACATTATATATCCGGTATTTTCTTATAAATGGTTACCTGAGAGTTAAAGCCTTGATTAAAACTTTATTAAACAGTTTTTGAGCAAAATATAATTCAAACACAAGGGTTTCCCTCTATGTTTACAAATAAACAGCTGCAAAATAATAATAATAACAGCTACAAAATAACTTTGAAAAATATAATACAGTACAGGTTTTTCTTCTTTTGTTTTGTTTTGACTAAACCTGTTTTACTGAATATTAAATAAGGAGATGAAAACAAACAGACTATAGATATGAGAGGTAACGAAATTGTGGCAGAGTACTGTGATAAAATGCTGGTGAAGCATATAAATGTAAACAGACATTATAACAGACCAGAACACCGAGCTAAATGTGTTATAATGTGTAAATGTAAAGAATAGACTGTCGTGTAATAAATACTGAAACTTATAATCAGTGAATATGAGGAGGTTTCACTTTCGAAATGCGGTATAAATTCATACCATCTTGGCGTTTTCAATTCTTTTGAACACATTCAGGTGCTGCTTGTCAATTTGAAAACGCTTCTATGTTCGTTCTTGCTGTCAACTGCGGAAGAATTGATCGTTAAAAGGTTTCCGATAAATCGCTGTGTGAAGTGCATGTACACGAGGGGGAGTCCGATTTTTCCCGGGACCAGTGTTGCCAGATGTAGCTGACTGATTGTAGGAGGGGGCGGGGGGAGATCAGTCAGCTACTGTATGTGAATCAGTCAACTGTCTGTATGTGAAGAATGCAGGCTATAGCATTTCTTTGGGAGATCATAACAGGTTTATAAGTGAAGACCAGGACTAGCGGGCACGGCGTTGCAAAACCGCCCAAATTTTCACTATCGCCTATGTCACTTTTTAGCCTGCAAAAACAAATACAAAACCGCCCAATTGGGCGGGAAACCACCGAATCTGGCAACACTGCCCAGGAGTCAGATTTCGATACAACACAGGCACTGCATGTTCCTCCATGTCGCGTCAGTGATGGGTCGTTCTTGAGCGATTCTGTCATTTTGAACAAATGAGTTCGCCTGCTACATTGGAGTGGTCTGTTTCACTGTCGGAGTGGTCCGTTGGTACCCCAAACCATGACTTTTCCTTCACCAAACTTGACTGATTTCTATGAGAATCGTGGATCCACGCGGGTTCCACTAGGTCTTCTGCAATATTTGTAATGATTAGATGATTCATCTGAAAAATCGACCTTTTACCACTTTTCCAAATGATCAACTAGAAGTCAAGATATTGTTTATTCATTTTTTTGCTTATTCTCATTGCTTTGTTTGATGAACTTTATTTTTTTTCACTCTTTTTGCTTCTTTTCTTTTTCTTCTACTCCTCCCCTTTCTCTTCTGTTTATTTATTTATTTATTTATTTATTATTATATTATTAATTTTTGTTTATTATTATTAGTTTATTTTCTCTTTTCCTCTTTCCCCTTCTACTTAATACTTACTAGTATTATTATTATTTATTATTATTATTGTTATTATTATTATTATTATTACTTGTCCTCTCCCTGATTTCCCATTCTCCCCTCTCCTCGACACCTTTGTCATAAATGGTATTACTTTTACTTTTTGTAATCATTATTATTATTACTGTTCTAACTTGTCCTGTTATCTTTTCATTATCATTATTACAAGTATTTATACAATTATCATTATTAAGGTTGCAGTTGTTGTAGTTGTAGCGGTAGTAGTTGTAGTAGTAGTAGTAGTTGAAGTAGTAGTCATTGTAATAGTATCGATTGTTATTGAGTAATTGTTATGGAGATTATTGAAGTAGTAGTTCATGTAGTAGTAGATGTCATTGGTATAGTAGTAGCAGAAGTAGTAATGGTGTGGTTGTTACAGTAGTAGTAGTCGTTGTTGGTGTAGTTATATCAGTAGTAGATGTTGTTGATGTAGATATAGTAGAAGTGATTGTGGTGGTGGTAGTAGTAGTAGCAGCAGTAGATGCTGTTGTATTAGTTGTAGCAAACGCTATAGTAGTATCAGTAGTGGTAGTCGTTGTAGTAGTATCAGTATTAGTAGACATTGTAGTAGTATTAGTCGTGGTTGTGGCTGTAGTAGAAGCAGTAGTAGTTGTAATATAAGTAACTTTCTGTAGTAGTAGTTGGTGTAGCACTTGTGATTTATTATTATTATTGTCAGTTATTTACTGTCAGTTAATTACTATTGTCCTTTCTTTCTTTTTACTTTAATTTTTACTATCACACATTAATAAGCATTGTTGTTACTCCATACCCCTGACTGGTTTCTTTCTATATGCTTTATTTATATCTGTGACACTTGCTTCATTTATTGACTATTATTGTTCCTTATGTATGTACTCTGACCTGTCAAACTAAGTTACCTTTACATGCAAACACTCTCACAAGCGCACACTCACGCACATACCAGTACCTGACTATATTGTTGTTGTTTTTGTTTTGTTTTGTTGCTTTGTATTTGTTATTTGTTGATGTTTTCTTGTATTTGTATGATTTTTGCATATTCTAATAAAAAATAAAAATTAAAAAAAAAAGATATTGTTTGTTGCTCTTACAAGTGGGATCAACGACAAGACTTTTGTCAGGTAGTGTACTTTAGGAAACAATTAGGAATATTGAAAATAAAGTAATTGAAGTACTTAAAATACGACTGAGAAAAAGTCAATTAATACTGAGAATACGACCTGCAACATCAGCTTTGAGATTGCGCTTGGTTTGATGTTTTGATATTTAAACATTCTTATGTTACTTATAATGATCTGTTGCAATCTGTTCAAGAAGACCTCCATGAGAACAAGAGGTGACCCTGCACAGTCTGACTCAGTTCTTGACTGCATTCATAATTACCAACCCATGTTTATATGTGCGGGTTGAAAAAAATGTATTTAGATGATTTGGTCCTTGCCCCCCTCCAAAAAACATTAAAGCAATCAAAAACAAAAGAGATTCTGTAACTGTTTTCCAGTACACCATAGACATGTAAACAAAAGTTAAACCCAATTCAGTAAACAAAATATGTGTGGGCCATACAATGACCTGATTTTCATTTAGCATGTTAATAGGCCTGTGTAAAGCTCCAATATAAGACACGCATACACACACACACACATACATAGGAGCCCTGTTTACATCTGATAATAATACTCTCGAGATCCAAGCACAAGTGGTCAGAACTAAAAACATTGGGGGTGATCTGATCAGCTTCATCAGAAATGTATGTGACAAAGCTGCATTTGTATTGTGAAAACCAATCCGTCCTGATGCGTCCCAGGCGTCCATAAAAGCCCGCCCACTCATCTGTCAATCAAGCATTTTAGCTCAAACAAGTACTCTTTGTGGCCGGTTGTGTGTGGCTTCGAGAGGTCATGTTTGTGGTGAGAATGAAACGTAAGTATCTGTCTCAACTGACCACTTGTGAGCGGCTCATCCCTCGACAGATGTTAATCCCAAGTTTAAACAGAGCCGGTGGCATTTTTCCAGTTACTTACATTGCCTTCGAGGAGCTCTTCCGTTGAAGCGCCTGAGTGGGCTTGCAGATACTTGGAGTGGAAGAGCAGGCCGTCGAAGCACTTCCATGGCATGAGCTCATCCATTGGGAACGGGAAACCACAAGCGCTGTTGGCTGCGATGAGGTAGGTCAGACCGCGCACAAAGACCGAGCCGAGCTGGACGGCCCTGGGGTCTACAACAGGAATCTATGGGGAAGGGATTATGACACGATATCAGAAATAATGCATAAAAACACAACATTTTGCAAAGCTGCAGTCATTAAGCATTGCTCTGTATGAGGGTACACAAGTTCCCCACATTAAAAAACAATGTAAATTTGCTGTGTTGGCCAGCAGATATTCTGTTTATTTGGTAAACTACTTCCAATGCAGGCTATAAAATGTACATTTGCATATATTTAAATATGTCAACCAAAAAATACAAGTATAGCCACAGGTATTTTTACTCAATTGGCATAATTTGAATAAACAGATGTTTGACAAATGACAGGTAGCTACATAAAAATAGCCCTCAAATTTTGACTGACAATGAGAACTGAACATCCATGAAGGTTTGGGCAGTATTTCAAATTTTTGCACAACAGGTTTTGGGTCTTATAAGCAAGACCTAAACTTTATCTGATATAGTGATATAAAGTTATTAGGTCCCACTTTATATTAAGTGTCCTTAACTACTATGTACTTACATCAAAAAATAAATACAATGTACTTACTGTGTTTATAATGTATTTGAGAACACTTGTGGTGCTTTTGAGTTGGGATAGAGGTTGGGTTATGGGCAGGTTTGGTGGTATGGGTAGGTTTAAGGGTGGGTTAAGGTGTAAGGGATGGTCAACAGTGTATTTACAAATGTAATTACAAAAGTTAAAGATGTAATTACATACATGTATTCAATCAAGAATAAGTACACAGTAAATACATGTATTTACACAATAAGTACATTGTAACTAACTATTAATTCCTGTGTTAGTACATATTAGTTAAGGCCACAATATAAAGTGAGACCAGTTATTAGTTATGCTATTTTACATATTGGCGATATAATCTGTTAGTTTTTATAATTCATACAGTTTATCAGGTTTTGAGGAGATATAGAGTGGTGTATCGTTGACAATACCGTGGAAACTACATGTTTTTTTTAAGGATAATTTCTATTATTAACATATACACTACCTGACAAAAGTTTTATCACCAATCCAAGTTTTAGGAACCACAAATAATAACTTGACTTCTAGTTGATCATTTGGTATCAGAAGAGGTTTATATGAAAGGCAAAGACCTCTAGATTATGCTTATTTTACCAAAATAAAATATGATCATGCCTTGATTTTTTATGATTTAATTAGGACAGGAAGATTTGACTGTGCTAAGACAAAGGTCTTGTCACTAAACAGAAATAATGTACAGTATAGAATATAAAGTGATGCTGTACTGGAAAAAGAATGAATATTGTGTGTGACTCCCATGAGCTTGGAGGACTGCATCCATACATCTCTGCAATGACTCAAATCACTGATTAATAAAGTCATCTGGAATGCCAAAGAAAGCGTTTTTGCAGGACTCCCAGAGTTCATCAAGATTCTTTGGATTCATCTTCAATGTCTCCTCCTCCATGTTACCCCAGACGTGTTCAATAATGTTTATTTCTGGTGACTGGGCTGGCCAATCCTAAAGCACCTTGATCCTATTTGTTTTCAGGAGCTTTGATGTGGAGGCTGAAGTAAGAGGAGCGTTATCCTGCTGAAGAATTTGCCCTCTCCTGTGGTTTGTAATGTAACAGGCAGCAAAAATGTCTTGATACCTCAGGCTGTTGATGTTGCCATCCACTCTGCAGATCTGAATGTAAACCAAAACCATGATTTTTCCTTCACTAAACTTGACTGATTTCTGTCAGAATCGTGGGTCCATGGCAGTTCCAATAGGTCTTCTGCAGTATTTGTGATGATTGGGATGCAAATCAACAGATGATTCATCTAAAAAAATCTACCTTCTGTCACTATTCCAAATTATCAACTAGAAGTCGAGTTATTATTTGTTGCTCTTACAACTGGGATCAATGACAAGATATCTGACAGGTAGCTGTGTATAACGTGAAAGCCAATGAACCAAGAACTGAGCATTGTGGAACCCCACAGCTTACTTGTGAAAGAAGTAAGCCTAAAAGCCTAAAAAAATAAAAACATTGAAACCATCAGTGTTTTCAGCAAGCAAGAAAGGCTGATTTACAGTAAATGGTGCTCTACACAAATTCCGTATCTGCTCCGAGATTGGGTTGCCTCAAAGTTGGCATGAAAAGTAAGATTAACAAAAGTCATTTATTCCATATTGTTATGTCTATCTGAGTAGTACCCAGCCAGTAAATATATATTTAAAAATAAAATACATATAATTATAAATAAATAAATTAATAAAAAATTAATAAAATAAAAATAATTATATAAAATAATAATTATTAATAAAAAATAAATATAAATATAAATAAATAAAATTAAATATATATTTTTTAAATAAAAAAATTATAATCAAATATTATAATTATTTTATATATATTTATTACTTTGTCATTTTTATATTTTCATTTAATAATTTTAATAATAACAATAATAATAATAATAATTTGTCATTTTAATAATTGTAAATAATAATAAAATAAATGCATTCTTTTATTAATATTTTTGTTTAAATATTTTCAAAATTATTATTGATTTAGTAGTTGTAATAGTAGTTGTAATTCTAATTATTAAATTTGATAAATAAATTGAAAGCTAAAAGCTTTTTATTTGTTGGAGGCTTTTATTTGTTTGTTCGTTCATTCGTTTGTTCATTCATCTATACATTTGTTCGCTCGTTTGTTCATTCATTCATTCATTCATTCATTCATTCATTCATTCATTCATTCTTTTATCTGTTTGTTTATTAATTTATTTACAAACACATTGGATTTACATAGATTTTTCTCCAAATCATGCAGCCTTTTAGCCATTTTAGTTTGGAAAAGCAACCTAGGACAGTTATATAAACATCTCCTTTTGTGTTCTTTATAGAAAACAAAGTCCTAAGGCCAGGAGATGCTTTAGGTTAATAATTACAAATGCTTCATCTTAACTGTTCCTTCAAATCACACCATTTTACAGTAGCTTGTTTTCTGCTTGCTCCTGCTGTTAATACCTATTGTGTCCTTCAGCAGGGTGTGACCCAAGAGCTCACCTGAAGTGCTCTTGCGGATAAGAGGATGTTTACAAAGCCCCCCCTTTCCACCAAAACTGTCCGCTGGTCACCTGCTGCCCCACACCCACCCACAGCAGATAAGAGAGAGAGCGAATGATTAGCTTGTGACATCAAAACGTAAAAAACTGGCCCGCCACCTGCTCGGCTCTCAAACACAGCTTAGACTAAAGCAAACAAAAGGGAGGCTGGAGATAAAGCCGAGGCGACAGCAGTAACCCACTGCCCATGCCTTCCAGGCGCACAGATTGAGAGCCAGGCCGTGGTTTGAAATATTACTCTGTTTACACGAGCCTGACTTCCTCTTAGAAACTATGCGTCTTCAGAGAAACGACAGCGTTTAAAGATGCTTTGAAATGTGCATTTTTTTTTATTCGATGTTTGATGTAATCTCAACTGAAACATGTAAGATGGAGTTGGACATCTAGCAGACACTCCCCTTTTAAAAAAAATAGCCAATAGAGTTTTGTTTTTTACAGCTTTGCCAGTAAGAGTGGTTGAGATAAACCATTATGTACTGTTGGGGTTGTTTTCATCCAATTTGGGGAGATTTTGAGTCTTAATTTGGCCATAATTTTTTCTGTGTTTCAGCTAGCAGAATGAATTTTGATGACAAATCTTATTTTGACACATATTTTAAGAAAATGCTTTGATTTTTTTTTTAACTCAACGATACTGCTGTTAAATGCATCAGATACACATTTTCACTTATTTTGTTTGCAAAAATCTGTTAATCAACCACAGTCCTGATTAAAACTACTAAATTGCTTTGAAAAAATCGGATTTTAACTCTTTAATTACAAAATTCATAAATGATGTCACTGATTAGGTGAAAAAAAACACACAAAATGACTTGATTTAATTATAAAAAGTAATTGTGGTATGGATTTTTTTTTTTTTTACCTTTTATCAAAGTCTTGGACATGTGAAACAACATTGTCTTTAACAAGTTAAGTGATGTCATCGACTTTTGCTTTCAGATTTAAAGGGCTAGCATTGCACCAGACCCCGGTAAGTGGTTTCGTTTGAAAGTGTAGAATCTATATTTTATGCACATTTGCATAACTTTGGTTTTTATTTTACTGTATAAAAGTTATTTACACTTAAATACACAGTATTTTAGATGTTATTAGAGATGAGTTATTAAAACTATGATGTGTAGAAATGTGTTGAAAACATCTCTCCGTTAAACAGAAATTCTGGGAAAAATAAACAGGGGGGCAAATAATTCAGGGGGGCAAATAATTAATGGGGGGGGGGGGGGGCTATTAATTCTGACTTCAACTGTATATGTGTGGTTCATTCATATTACTGTGGTATTTGTGACTTTAGGTCTCCGTTTCATCACGTCTGAGTTGCTGTCTATCACTTTAATGTGTTCATCTCGACATCCAACCCTGGTTATCCTTCTTTGAAGCGTAATGTCCCAAAAGTGGGGTTGTTTTCATCCACTTTGGGGAGATTTTGAGTCTTAATTTGACCATAATTTTTTCTGTGTTTCAGCTAGCAGAATGAATTTTGATGACAAATCTTATTTTGACACATATTTTAAGAAAATGCTTTGATTTTTTTTTTTAACTCAACGATACTGCTGTTAAATGCATCAGATACACATTTTCACTTATTTTGTTTGCAAAAATCTGTTAATCAACCTCAGTCCTGATTAAAACTACTAAATTACTTTGAAAAAAACTGATTTTAATTCTTTAATTACAAAATTCATAAATGATGTCACTGATTAGGTGAAAAAAAACACACAAAATGACTTGATTTAATTATAAAAAGTAATTGTAGTATGGATTTTTTTTTTACCTTTTATCAAAGTCTTGGACATGTGAAACAACATTGTCTTTAACCATTTAAGTGACGTCATCGACTTTCGCTTTCAGATTTAAAGGGCTAGCATTGCACCAGACCCCGGTGAGTGGTTTCTTTGAAAGTGTAGAATCTATATTTTATGC